ATGAACCTCCTGACATCTTCTGTGGTCCTTGAGAATACGAAGTAATGAAAATAAATTGCAACCCCTGGTGGGCTGCAATTTCTTTCTGCGGAAAGAAATTTTCGTGTAATGAGTAAAATGTATAGCAGCTTGAGGGATTTCTCAGTATAATATATTATCGATGTATATTGTTATGTTAGAAATATTCGTGTATCTGATGCCAAAAGATGTTTTCCTTGAGATGGAATAACAGTAGAAACGTTCGGATAATATTTCTATTTTGAAACATCAGCCATTCGTTCTATTCGTGTACATTTGAGGAGACAAAATAGAAATCAATTGATTGTGGAATTGATATCTCTTTTCGAATACTGTTTACAAATATTCGACTACATTGTTAGAAGTAATTCAACAACACCTGCATCTCAATTCTCAATGTCGTGGGTTTTTATTCAATTTATCTCGAGATATTCAACTTTAAAATTCATTTTTTAAATCGAATATGAAATCTCAACCGCATTTTCCAGCGATATCTCCGAAACAAAGGCCGCTAAAGAAATTGTCACCGATATCTTTCTCGAAGAGCTACTCAAGCTCAACAAAAAAGGTCACCACAACAAATTCTCTATCTTCCTTAGTTTCCCAGATATACCCGAAAAACTCGACGTCATTTTACAATTTCACAACAGAATTCAATAAAATTTCCACCAGGTTGTTAATTCGGGAAAATAATTTTAATTATCCCAAATTTTTAATGACTCTCATTGAATATTCGAGAACTACCTCACTCTTTCTCAGAAATTGTTGATAAATTTCTCGTGAGTTTGTCGTTGTGGAGAATAAAAAATTATTTTACTTGAAATTTCAACTGGAGTTGCAGTCAAGGGACTTTAAACTGTCAGACAAGCAGGAAATAAATGAGGAAAATGCATATCAGCTGAACCAAACTTATCAACGAGGTTTCAAAACGGCCTCGAAATTTTCGATAAATTTTCCTTATCCATGAACTGTTCGCAAGGCCGTTCCATCCACGGTCTTGCACAAATAATAGTCGATCACAGTTTTTACACGTGAACTAGTCATTGATCCAAGGTGACCAAGTCAATCTGTTTATTTAGTTCCCATTGAAATTGTAGAATTCATCCAAAAATTCCAGTAAAAAAGTCAAATTAATGGATTGTCTCAAGAATAATTAAACTCACACCAACAATAACATGATTAATTATTTTTTCAAAGTAAAAGTCAAATGGAATTGCGACTTCTGCGTCTAGTTTGCACCGGCCTAAAGAATCAATCAATCAATCAATCACTTGCAGATGATTTTCTATTTTAATTGGACTCATTTTTGGGCTTTGACGATTAATTTCTTTAGATCCCTGAGTTTTAATGCATTTAATTTTAAGAAACCACGAATCGATGGAGAATGTATCGAACCAAAGTACTTCGATCCCGTAGACTGAGAGAAAAATTAATTTTTGCTCATTATCGAATTACTCGAGGGATATCGTAATTATCTCTCTGAAATAAATAAATATTCGGCAAAAAAATAGTTTTTTCTCAGTGCAATTACCCAGAAAGTCCCAAAGACTTAGAATTCTCGCAATCATATTGTCAATTTAAAATCGAAAAAATTGTACGAGTAATTTTGAATAACCGGTAAATCATGAGGATTAATCGATAATCGATGTAATGATTGTATATTTATATGTGGAGCTTGGAAAATGGGAATGTGTATCCCAGTGTAGATAAAAGTTGTGAGAATAATAACTATCCACAGTTGATGATCGAGGAAATTTTATATTTCATGTTACACGTATTGAGTTTCAAAACAGAAAGGAAAAATTATATTTTGTATTCTGCTGTATCATGAAATGAGAAGACTCATTTTTTTACTTTTGATTTTATTGATTTCAATCATCGCCATATTCTCTCCATTTTTCAATAAAAAACATTATGGAAATGAAATGCTTTTTCGGGGTTTTTATTTCATTGCATTGGAATTAGTTATAATAATTGGATATATTATAATAATTGGATATATTATAATAATTGGAAATTGAATTGAAATTGAATTTTTAAAAAATTCAATGGAAATTCACTAGAAAAAAGTTCTGGTAAAAAAATTTGGGAATTGGATTAGATTTTGAGTTCCAGGGCTGGCGTTACGATCATTCTGAATTAATTATGATTATGATTAATTATTGTTTTGATTATTCTGAGTGATCGGTCGTGTCTAGACTCCGAAATCTGGTATTGAAGGCCTTGGAGAGGAGTAGAGTAACCATACGAGTGTAGATGAACCCGTAATCCTCTTTGAATGACTAATGAGATTGTCTCATTCAAATTAGATTTGATACACTAGCTGGTGGAGCTTGAAATCCGCTTAGAGAGAATTCCGGTATTTCTATTTTTGCCCTTGGGGCTGAATCCGACAAATGTCAAGGAAATGTCTCCCCTTTTGCATCTCAATTTAATTCTCCAATTTTATGTTTCAAGATAAATAAAAATATTGAGATCAGGGGAGCATGAGAATTGAGGAGGTATTCACTGGAATTTAAAAATTCGAAATTTTTGAAAAAGTATCAGGGGAGAAAAGTATTTTGTGAATTTTATTTTCTGCTGTATGAATCCTTTTTGTTTTTTATTTGTTTAACTCAAATTTAGCCGACTGTACACCGAGCGGAAGGGGGAAGTCACATTTTGTGGAATTTCAAAGAAAAAAATTATTTAACATATTGAAGATATACTACTAATGAAATTAGAATTTTATAATAAGCGCGTTGTGTATTTGGCAGCGTGCTTGCCTACCACGCCGACGGCCAGGGTTCGATCCCGCCGTCATTCATTTTTTTTTTTTTAAATAATTTCAATTTTATCTTTTTTTAATTGGTTAATCAATCTAAATATTGTTTAAACACTGAATTTTTGAAAAGCGGAAAGATATGCAGTGAAATTGAAAATTTGGACATTTTTGAAAACGAAACATTTGAAAATATATACTACTAATAAAAATTTTTTTTTATAATAACACGTTGTCCAAACGGTAACGTGCTTGCCTATCACGCCGACGGCCCGGGTTCGATCCCGCCGTCATTCATTTTTTTTTTTAAATAATTCCAATTTTTTCTTTCGATAGGTATTCACTGCAATTGAAAAATTCGAAATTTTTGAAAAAGTATCAGGGGAACATAACAATCGAGGAGCTATTCACTGAAATTTTCACTAAAGGTGAAAAATTCGAAATTTTTCTCAAAGTAT